TGGCGTCGGCGTGTCTGGTCGTCAGGCTTTTGCGTCGGTCGGTCGACGTTCGTTCGGCGGCCGTCGGCGGTGGGTGTCGGCGCGCTGTCGTCAGATAGTCATCGGGCACTCGTCGGCGGCGGACGGGCGCATTCGGTCGTCAGATGCCGGTCTGCCGGTCGGCGGCGGGACGTCGAAGGGCTTCTCCCCGCTAGGGGGGCAGCTGCCAAGCTGGACATTCGCGGGTGGGTGGCGTTGTCGTTGGTCACCTGGATCACCAAGTACTGGTTGTGTTCCCCCGTTCGGCCGACGACGGCGCTGTGGTGGCCGTTGATGGGGTTGCGCTCTGGGTTGGCAACCGCCACCTCGGTTCCTGTGTGGGTGGGTGGAGGCGCGGGGGAGGAGCGAGGTCTGCGTCGGCGGCCAGCGCGTCAGCCCCCTCCGCCGATGCGTTGGCCCTGGTGGGCAGTGATGGCCCTGGCGCAGTGGGTGGCGGCGCCAGCGTTGTCGCTAGCGGCCGAGCGGTGGTGCGCAGGGGTATGCCATGGCCGGGGGGCGCGTCGGTGTCCTCCTCTGCATGCGGCGTTGGGTGCAAGCTGGCAGCGAGCCTGACTGCCGCGGCACGTGCCTCCGCGCGACCCTCTGCCCGGCGCGGCGCGAGCCGCGGGGGCGACGCTCGCGGCGGCGCCCGGGTGGCCAGCTGGAGGGTCACCATGTGGGCGTGGACGCGCTCCGCTTCTGGGGAGCCGCGGTGGCGCCCGGCGTCGGAGGTCTTCCTGGGGATGCTCTGCAGTGGCGCCGAGGTGGGGCTCCAGGAGTCGGCGGGGGAGCCATCGGTCAGCTTGCCCGATCACTTGGCGGAGGCCCAGAGGTGGCGCAGCAGCTGCCTCGTGCGACAGGGAAGGCGGAGGCGGCCCGTGGCGGCTGCGGTGTGCCTGCTGGCATGGTCTGGTTGGGGTGCGCGATGGCGGCTGGCGCCGCGTGGGAGCGAGCGCGGGCGGGTGGGCAGACGGCCGTCGAGCGTCGTCGTCAGAGGTCGAACAGTTGACAGTCGGTCGTTCTGGCGGTAGTTCTGGCGGTCGGCAGACGGTCGTCGGCGGTCGTCGGACGGTCATCGTTGGGAAGCGGACGGCCGGCGGGTCGGCGTCTGGCTTGTCGTCTGACGGTCGGCGGACGGTCGTCGGACGTCGTGGGATCCGTCGGTAGGGGGCGGTCCATCGGTCAAGGGGCATCCGCGGGCCTGGTGGCCCCAGTGGCTGGCGCTGCGACGTTGGCTCGGTGGCCCCCGTGGCTGGTGTCCTTGGGATCAGGAGGGGAAGAAACACACAGACACAGTTAATCGTCGACTTCAAGGAAGATATGGTAAGACATGGGAAGTGGGGGGGGAAGACAAAAACTTAGAACATATGGGAGCATATGGGGAATCCTGTTATTTGTGTCTACTTGTTTGTGTGTCCCAGGGCCCCTTCAAGAAAGACAGTCACTACGGATTACGCCATGGGCGACATCGTGGAGACTGGCTGAAGCGTTGGCCTGGTAGCAGTACCGAGCGGCTCCAGTGGGGGTCGTCGGACACTCGGTGGGAGGGTCAATGAACCACGGCGGGGGGGCTGGCTGCAGCGTGAGCCTGGCGGCCCACGTGGCTGATGCCTCTGAGAGTCTGCGGATGGTCCGAAAGGTCGCAGGTCGTCGTCGTCAGAGGTCGGACAGCCGACAGTCAGTCGTCGGCGGTCGTTCCGGCGGTCGGCGGACTGTCGCCGGCTGTCGTCGGACGGTCAGCGTTGGGTAGCGGACAGCCGGCGGGCGACGGGCACGTGGTCGTCAGCCCTGGTTCGTTGCCCGACGGTCGGCGGACAGTCGTCGGACGTCGTGGGGTCCGTTGGTAGTCGGCGGATCACTGACCGAGCGGTCGGGGACAGACCTGGGCGCGGTGTCCCTTGCGGTTGGTGCTGCGGCGCGGGCCCGGCGGCCCCCGCGGCTGGCGCCGTTGAGAGTTGGCGGACGCTCAGAAAGAGGATCTCTACGGACTGCGTCATGGGAGACTGCACGGAGACTGGCTGGGGGTGGCATCGCTGAGCGGCCCTAGCGGGAGTCGTCGGACACTTGGCGGGAGGGTCACAATGAACCACGGCGGATAGATTGACTGCAGCGTGTGCCTAGTGGCCCGCGTGGCTGATGCCCCTGAGAGTCGGCGGGCGCTCCGATGGAGGGTCGCCACGAACTGCGCCATGGGTGACATCGCGGAGACTTTGCTGGAGCGTTGGCCTGGTGGCAAGACTGAGCGGCTCCAGTGGGGGTCGTCGGACACTTGGCGGGAGGGTCACAATGGACCGCGGCGGATGGACCGGCTGCAACGTGGGCTTGGTGGAGAGAGGGAGGGGGAGAGAGAGCGAGAGAGAGAGAGAGAAGACAAAGAGAGAGAGAGAGAAGAAAGAAATAAGGAAAGAAATACCCTCACACACATGCACGCACGCACGCACGCACGCACGCACGCACGCACGCACGCCCGCACGCATACACACATTTTAAGTCGGCGGTGCAGAGGAACCTCGGGCGCGGTCGGCAGATTGTTGTGCCTATTGCGAACGAACTTAGTCGAACGCGCCGTGATGAAATAATCCAGCCACGGCCATGTAGATGGAGAGGTGGTGGGTGGTGAAAGAAATGAGGTTCTGTAAAGCCAAAGTGCAGCGGCCAAGCACCCCGTCCAGCGTAGCTCGACGCCAGGAGTTGAAGCGCGGGCAGCAGTCTGGTGCTAATCAGCCAGTCGAATGCAGCGGCCAAGCATCCCATGGAGCATAGCTCGACGCCAAAGCGCGGGCAGCAAGCTGGTGCTTATAAGCCAGTAGAAGGACATGCAGTGTGAAGCTGCCACACCAGCCAGCAAACACACAAACACACACAACACAATGAAGACGGTATTTTTCCATCCCGAAAACACCGTCGTGCAATCGTAGTTTGGAGTGCTCCCCCGCGTTGTTGCATGGTTGGGGGTCCGACGCGCACATGCTCAAGCTCAGGTCGCCTTGTTGTTGAATCGTCTGTTGCCGTTCGGGCTCCATCGAACTGCACGCGTATCCTCGCCTTTCATGATGCGATTGCTAGTCCAAGCTATACCAGTCATGACCACTTCGGCGGTCGCAATTGGGGCAACGGTGGGAGGGGGCATGGGCGCGCATGAGCTTCATATTTTTGTGTTTTGTGCTTCCTCGCCTCGCCCTCGCCCCCGCGAGGGCCCCCCCCCTCGCTCTCGACAGCTGCACGGTGTGAGCGCCGCCTTCTCCCTCCAATTCCTCCACCTCTTCCCTCTCCTGCCCGCCCTCCCCCCTCCCTCCTCCCTCCACGGGCACCCTCCGCCCCCACCTCTCCGTTCTCGTACCTTTTGCGCTCGCGGGGGCTTCGGCATCGGCACGACGTCAATCGCCCACTTCGCCCAGCCGTCACTGGGCGGGCAAGCTCTCGCAGGAACGTCGCTCACATGAGATGTTCGGGGCCCGTTCCGCTTGTTCTGTCTGTTTCCACTGTAGTTATTGTGACCCCCCCTGGACTGGTCCTAATTGCCCGTGGGCGTGACGCGATCAAAGCATGTTTCGTCCCCCGTCCCTCCATCTCCCTCTCTCTCTCTCTTTGTCCTTCTCTCTATATATATCTCTCTCCTCTTGTCCCCCTTTCTAGGTGTCGCCATCTCTCTCTCTCTCTCGTTCTCTATCTCTTTCTCGTTTTGTTATTTCTCTCTCGCTTTCTCTCGCTCTCTCTCTCTCTCTGCCTTGCACTGCTAAAGCCCCTCTCTCTAGAATATCCCATGCGAGCACCCTCCAGGTGATCATGAGGTTCGGGGGGTGGAGAGAACCAACGTCTCACTCAATATTAGTATCAATACCACTATCGATCTAACTATCGATCTCACTATCGATTTCACAATCGACCTCACAGTTGACCTCACTATCGATCTCACTATCGATCTCACTGTCGATGTCACTGACGATCTCACTACCGATCTCACCATCGCTTCCACTATCGATCTCACTATCCATCTCACTATCCATCTCACTATCGATCTCACTATCGGTCTCAGCATCGATCTCACTATCGACCTCACAGTCGACCTCACTACCGATGTCACTAAAGATCTCAATATAGATTTCACAACCGATCTCACCAACGATCTCAAGGGACACCACCAGACACCAGGGGACACCACGGACACAACGGTGACCTTACGGGACACCCATCGGACACCATCACGGGACACGATCGGGACAACACGGCGCGATGCCACGGGACACCATCGACACACCACCAGGACACCATTGGGACACCGATCGAGGTAACGCGGGACACCATCGGGACACCAATCGAGACACCGCGGGACACCACGGGACGCCACGGGATACCACGGGACACCACGGCGGGACACCTTTGGCACCCGCCCGCCTCGCGGCCGCGGAGGGGTGACTTCTGTCCTTGCCGCGCCTTAGCCAGAAGAGGGTTTAGGGTTTAGGGCCTAGGGTTGGCCCGCAGTCGGGTGGGGGAGGGGGTGTCTGTTCATTAGGAGCAGTAATAAAACGCCCCCCGAAGGGGAGGAGAGGAGGATTGATGATAAAACATTCTAAACCACCTACGCCCAGAGGTCTGGTGGGATTTCGAGCACCAGCAATGCACTGAAACTGGAGGGTTTTCACGCGTCGGGCCCTGGGAGGCGATATTCGTTCGAGACTTCGCCAGCGTGTCGGGGAGTTGTTCCTGTGCCCTAGTGCGCCCCCCCACGGGCGCGAAGATAATCACGGTTCGCGCATCGCGGCTTGGGTTTGAGATGCGCCCTTCTCCAGGGGGGGGGGGCACGAGAGCGCGGAGGTAGCCGCCCGTCGCGAATCGAGGGACGCGATACGCGAAGTTAGGTGACCTAGGTCGGTACTTTTTCGTTCTCCCAGGCTTTGGTGGGGGACGTGCAGGGACAGACCATCTCGAGCCTCGCACCTCTGGCCGTGCCTCAAACTGCGCTTCCCACGCCCCGGCGCCAGGGACCGCGGGGGCGGTGGCGGCGGCGGTGGTGGAGGCACTCCTAGCGGCGATCGCGGCGAGCGCCGCCCGAAGAAGAGAGGCGCCCGCCCCCACCCCGCCTCCGAACGAGCCGCCCGCGGCGGTTCTGGGCGTGGCGGGATAAGGATGCGGAGGAGGAGGAGGAGTAGGAGGAGGAGGAGGAAGAGGAGGCGGAGGAGAGAAGGAGGAGGAGGACGAGTAGGACGAGGTAGGGCGAGAGGAGGAGGGGACGAGGAGGCAGGAGGACGCGTGTGGACGAGGAGGACCGCGGAGGACGAGGAGACGGAGAGGGAACGGTGATCAGGAGGACGAGGAGGCGAGGACGAGAGGACGAGGAGACGAGGAGGTGGAGGAGGCGGAGGAGGACGAGGACGAGGACGAGGGGAGGAGGAGGAGAGAAGGAGGAGGAGGTACGAGGAGAGGAGCGAGGAACGAGGAGGAGGAGGACGAGGAGGAGAGGAGGACGAGGAGGAACGGGCGGAGAGAGAGGACGAGGAGGACGACAGGAGGACGAGGAGGACGAGGAGGACGAGGACGAGGCCGAGGCGAAGGACGAGGCTGGAGGACGAGGAGGAGGAGGAGGAGGAGGAGGAGGAGGAGGGAGGAGGAGGACGGGGAGGAGGAGGAGGAGGAGGAGGAGAGAGGAGGGAGGAGGAGGAGGAGGAGGGAGGAGGTTGGAGGGGAGGAGGAGGAGGAGGAGGAGGAGAGGGAGGGGGAGGGGAGGGGGATGGGGGGGGGCGGAGGAGGGGGAGGGGGAGGGGGAGGGGGAGTGAGGAGAAGGAAGGAAGGCAGCGTGCAGCGCTGACGGCCCGCGCAAGCTGCGGCGTAAGGTCGCTGCGTCATCTCTCGTAAGACCCGTTTTTGAGCGTCGCTCACCCGGTGCTTCACCCTCGGGGGCACCGAGAAACTTCGCAGCGGCAAGCCAGCGTTCGTGACCTTGCACGTTCTGTGCTCCATCTGAGGTATGCGGCCGTCGGCCCAGAACAAGCGTGGCCGCAGCTTTCGCGCCCGATCCCCAGCCTCCCAGCGTCTTGGGGGTGGCGAAAGGGGAGGAGGGAGGGCGGAGAACGGAGGACGGAGGAGGCAGGACGGAGGAGGGAGGACAGAGAGGAGGGGAGCACGGAAGCGTTTCAGGTGCTCTTGGGTGCGTCTTCGGCTGCCTCAGGGGCGTCTGGGGCCACTCTTGCAGCGGTCGTCGGGGCCCGGGGCCTACGGTACCGTAGCACAAAACCGGGAGGGTGCATAGAGAAGCCGGGGGGCCTAAAGATTTGTGGCCAGACGGTGAAGTTCGACCCGCGTTATCGCTCCCGAGCCATGCGAAGTCATACCAGACACCCACTGTTCTGTATCATTACCATCTGGCAGCTAACTTAGTATGAGTTGATGGTGGCCCCCCCCCGGGCCGTCTTGGAGCGATCTTTGGGGGCTCTTGGGCCGTCGGAGGGCCGAGAAGAAGCAAATGCCCAAAAACCTTTGGAAAACCAGTGATCTTAGCCTCTTCTTCGGGCCCTCCTGGAGGACGTCTTGGGGGGCGTCTTGGGAGCCTCTTGGGCCGTCTTGGGGCCATCACGGAGGTTTCTTGGGCGGATTCGGATGCATTTCGGAGCCATATTGGGCCGTCTTGGTGGCTTCTTCGGCGGACTTGGAGGAAACTTGGACCATCTTGGGCCACCCTGGAGGCCATTTTGGGCCAACGTGAGCATCTTAGAAGCCATCTTGAGCCGTCTTGGAGATGGTTTCCGGACGTTGAGGTCGTTTGTGCGGCCTTCCGGGTGGCCGGCGCGCTGAGCCGAAGCAATTCGGAATAAAAAACCATACAGAATCGCTTAGGCTTCAGCACTCCAGGCACCCCTGTGGCAAGCCAACAGGGGGCGGCGGATCTGATGGCCTTCGGCCCATCCCGCCACCGTGCCTGGGTTGTGGGTATGAAGCCAATTGGATGTTCGCTGGGATCTCGTGGGAGGCCTCTCGGGGGCCTCTTGGAAGCAATTCGTTTTTTTCATCCCGTGCGTGGTGACTGCTGTGCAATCGGTGGAGGCAGTTCGAGGGACTCGGGTCCGTTTTGGAACCTCTTGGGGTCTGAGGGCCCCGGGAGATTTGGCAATTTTGTTTCCGGGCTCCTGAAAGATTCCTCAGGACGGTGGACTGAGGCTCCAGGTATTAGGCAAAAACTTGAGGACACGCCCACTCCGTGCCCAGAAAGACGGTGGCGGATTTCTAGATTCGAGAAAACGCGTTTCACGGGCGCTTGCCTTGGGAACATTCGGCGGCGCGTTTCGAACCCGGGGGTGGGCCCCCCCCCAACATTCGGCGCTGTCGATCAAAACCAGGGGGACTCCCCTCCCCCCCAAACCCCCCTCTCCCGAACCCCCCCCCCCGGCGCCGGCGCCGGCGGCCGCCAGCAACGCCGACGGCGGGGACGCAGCGACGATGACCAGGACCAGAGGCAGCCCAAGGTAGGGGGGGGGTTCAATCCCCCGCCCCCCTGGCGCCGGCGCCGGCGCTGGCGGCGGCCAGCAGCGCCGGCGCTGGCGCCGGCGACGGCGGGGACGCAGCGACGATAACCA